ATTTTTTAAACATAGAAAATGAGACATGTGGAACTAATGGTCTATTTGGGATAGTGTTTTCATTTCTCTGTTGTATAAATTGTTTTTTCCATTTCATTTGAGTTTTGCTTTCTTCATTTTAATAATTTTTGTGCCCGGAAGTTGTTTTTACAACCATATCTGTTGTAGTGCGGTTGTTGTAGTATAGTTGTCTAAGTTTTTTAAAAATGAAAATATTTATTATATCCATAACACTTATCAAAAGTTACATTTCATATAATAGCTTTATAAATAACTTTTCTAAAAGCTGAAGTCTCTCCAAATGGATAGTTATTTAAATTTTATTTTGTCAAAAATTTTTGGAAGACGGTGCACCCTGGTAACATGGGGACATGGTGCTTGGAAATATGGGACGTGATTAATGGATAAGTAAAACATGGTTTGAAATAATTTCATATATATGTAATAACATAATACACCATAGTAAACATAGATAGGAAAAGTAAAGTTTCATTTCATTATCGTGAATTAAAATAATTGTACATTAATAATGTGGGAATAATTGTCATGCCCCATAATTTAAGGGAAGAATTGCACTTAATCTCATCTATCTCCTCTTTAAATTTTGATGGATCATAGCCAACTAAATATCCAAAATTCAAGAGAATTTATAAACATCCATTCACATTGCATTTCATATATTATCCAAAAGAATCATATACATTAATCTAGTACAAATTTCCAATTAATCTAAAATAAACATGACTAATTAGATTATCAAAAGAATACCTTAAAAATGGATGTACCTAGGTCGGTCCTTTACTTTATCAATTTCTACTCTACTTTGACTTTATTTTACCTTTTTCTTAAATAGCATATGAATATGTAGCATGATCAACTACTTATTTTGTAGGCATTCTGAAATCTTATTTAAGCGTTCAATATCCCAAGTTAAAAATAAATAAAAGTGAATAGTAAGCTTTACAATTTAACTAAAGTAACATGATAGTTATATAAGATTATACTTATAATAGTGTTGACAATACATGAGCTTGTAAGTTCATTAACTTGCTCAATTTTGAACTTATATGCATCAACATTATGAACTTTCATTCAACTTGCATTTTACTTGAAAGGAACTTGCATATATTAACCATATGAACTTTCATTCAACTTATACTTGACTTCAGGGTGGAACACATGTCTTGTATGTAATTTATACAAAACATTATTCATGCACATGTCTTGATACATGCTTCGAACTCCACTTTCACTTATACATTCAATTGGTTATTCTCAAATCTATTCAAGATATATGCATACATGCTTGATTCCTCTTATAACGCTACCTAACCATCTCACTTATGTTAAGTCAGATGGAGGAATATATGTGTAATGACCCAATTAGGCTAGGCTGATTCAACCGAACCGACCAACCTCCTAATAAAAGACACGACCCCGTATGGGGGTCGATTTTTTCGTGAAACAGAGAACGGAGAGCAGAGGGGGCGGATGACCGAACTCACATGTAGTGGATTTGGTGGATTTTCTTAAGCCATTTTTAGCAAACGATCGCGTTGGAGGGTAAGATTAAACAACTCATTTTCGTTCCTATTGTTATAGAAGTAAGGGTTTGAGAGAAACGACGGTGGGAGAGAGGAACAATTTTGAAGGAAATAGAGAAAAAAGTTTGTTTTCTCAAATCTTTTATAAATTGTTCCAAATATTTTCTCTAATTAGTGTAAACATTTATTTGATGATAAGGAAGACAATTGGAAATTTGTGAGGGAGAAAGATGAAAATTTTTGGGATTTGGAAGATCCCCTTGTTGTAAGTAAAATGTATTTCATATATTTTTTTGCGTAGATTTTTTTTATTATTAAAGCATAATTGTTTTATGAAAATTTATATTGTTTAAATTCTTAGAAAATTTAAGAAAATTTAGAAGGGAAGTGACCAAGTTAAAGGAGTTGGGTTCTTAAAAAAAAAATTCAATAAGAAATTGAACTTGTTACGAGGTATGGAAGAAATTCAATATTTGTTGACTTATTCAAATTGAGAATTAATATTAATTAATTCGTTCTATTCTTGTGAACAATTAAAGCCTTCCAAACTCCACGAGTATTGGAAGAAGAAATAAAGTGGGTAAATCATTGTTATGTTTAGACATTTATTGTTGAACTTTTATTTACCGTTGAATTTCTATTTAACAATTTTCTAAGTAATTGATTTACTTATCTTGTTATGTTATCATATGAAAGGAATCTCAAATGCATATGTGAGTATAGAATTTTGACATTAATAAATTCAAATACCTGGTATTAGGGAACAAATAATATTATGATGATAAATGTATATGTAAAGGAAATGGTATGTATGAAAACCATTTCATATGATAACATAACATTATGGTACTAGTTGGGGATGCCGTACTCGTGCACGTAAAAAGGAAAATGTCATAGAAAAGGGAAAAAGGAAATAAATGGAAAATGTTGTACCTTTGGGTACATTGAGACGGTGCTCCTGTACAAATTAAATGGGAAAATGAAATATTATAGTTCAAAATGCTTTAAAATATTTTAAAAGAAAATGATCGGAGATGTATAAATTATCAAAATAAATGAAATAAGGTTAAGAAACATTAGGATGCATATTAAAGAGTATTATATTGATTATTTTAATTGTTACCAACTTAGTTTACTATGTAAACTCATTCCTTTAATTAAATGTTTTAGGTAAATCTCCAAAGATCTAGAAATGACAGAAATGTAAGAGTTCGTTTACAGAAGGCGATGTGCAAATGACAACAAGTAAATTTTAATTTGGGTATTAGTGGCTCTTCAATACAGATAAGAAAGTAGTGTAATGTTTAATGAATTTTACCGTCCGACTTTTAGTTTCTGCTTCGTTAAATCGAGCATCCGGGCCGGGTCGTGACAATATGAACATAAACATCTAAGGACCCTTATAAATCAACTTGTATATCACTTGATTTTCTCCTACATTTATCATATTTGTCATGTGAATATGCATTGTATCAAATGAATATGAAAACATTGACACGTTTAACATTTATAAATGACATTTAATATAATGCATAATTGCATTGAAGTGACACATGTATGATAATTTTAGTAACCTACATGAGGTAGAATATGTACACATATTTCATAATGACATTTCAAAAAATCATTCGTAGGGGCATTTATAACATCATTTTGGGTTTTTATTATTTCGTAGCACTTTGTATTAAATCAACACAAGTACTAAAACATGTGAAAATTCATATATTTAAAACCAATCATTGAATTTTTTAGTTTTACATGTCAAAATGTTAGAATAGTGTACTCTACAATATACCAAAATTTATATGCGAAAAATTTCTTAATCTTATTTAAATCAAATTAAACTCCATATCTTTCATCCAAATTTCCCAAATTGAAAACTAAAGTGGGGAAATATAAGCATACATTCAGCTACATAATTTCTTCAATTGGCTCGACGAACGTATATTGCTTCGTCACCTCCAAAACCTAGCTTTTATTTCCTCTCTTAATTTCTTATCCTTTGACCCCTCTTGAGGCTTTAGCGAATGAGGAAATAAATGTTTAGGGGGAAAATACTTTTTAGATATTTATATATAAATCTTAAAATTTGCCTAGCGCCACGACACCTGCCACAACTCCGCAACACTTTACATGAATATTTCAGAACCTTTAAATAGAGAGTTTGGCGTTGTAATGCCCACTTCTAGCACCACAACAATCCCAAGCACTTGCCCCTAACTAGATAAGGCAACTTCACTACATACAACATTGCAGTGCTCTTAAGGAGCCTTCACATGTAACATTTTTCTCTTTTCTAACTCGACTACATATTCGCTTGGACTTAGTTAAACATATGGTAACTTAAAATTTCTAAAACATATATAAAGACATACTTGAAATTATCAGGTTTGGTTCGAGTTATTTCAGGTGAACTTATTTATATAGTAGCATTTAATACCATGGTTTTGAAAATTTGATTAGACTAGCCTGTTTGACCGATTCAACTGTGAACTAGTCTTATTGCTTGTTTAGTCCTCATTAAATTTCTATTAAATATGAATTAAAATGATGATTGGTGATATTTCATTTAAATTTAAAATTAGTAATTTTTTTATATTTGAATATATAATATAAATTAATAATTATTTACTCTAACTTTAAAATTATGGAATATATTTTTTATGTATGAATTTTATTTATTTTTATGATCCTGAAATTATATTATTTCATAATTATTATAAAGTTATTTTATTATTTAAATATCATTTAACTATTTTTAATATCTATTATGTCATCCAGTTCAACCTCGATCAAACCATTGAGCCTCTCTTTTTTTTTTTTCTTTTTTCGGTTCTATCTACGATTTGATTTTTACAATCCTTGTTAGTACAATAGCGATACATAAAAAAGAGTAATGAAAGAATCAACAACTACAATGAAGCTACTCACCCCTTAAAAGAAAAATACAAATGGCCAACTATAAAAATATAGAATATCAAATATATCTTGTTGATAAATATGCTCTTGTGGTGCTGATATACATTTGAAAAAAAATTAGTAACAAGTGGGTGAGAAATCAAATTCAACAAATAACTTCTATCTATTAAAGCATAAATGATAAGAATATAAAAAAGGCTAAGAGTGAATACAAAATAATAGATAATTAATACATCAATATACAAATACATCTGACTGCTCATATGATAGATCATAGAATGAATATTGTTGCGTCCTGAAATATTCACGGCGGTAGAGAAATATATGGTTTAACGTCTTAACATTGTACGAAGATCCATCACACAAGCAGATAAGAGAGGGGGGTAAAACATTCATAAGAGACACCAGAGTTTTTACATGGAAAACCCCTGAAAAGGGGGAAAAACCACGGGGCCTGGCCCAGTTTGAATGAATCCACTAGTATTTGCAGTTGATTACAAATGAGGCCTAAAGCTCAATAAACAAGAAACGAATCAATCATGAACCAAACATAAACATTTGTCATTTTAAACGAACAAAGCTTGATTACAAACATAAAAGCTAGAATTGAGAGCATGAACTGAGTTCAAGTAAGCTGATAATAAACGAGTTCAAACATGAACAAGCACATGTTCGTCTCTACTCGATTCATTTGCAGCCCTAGATGTCACTTCGGTTTCAACATGTTAACACCTAAGAGTTCACAAATAATGAACTCGATGATGGCGTTCTCAAATTTAGTCAGATTAGTTTGGCTGTCTTGCCCTCTGTAGCACCTGCAGGCAAACTTTCTCGATAACTAGTTTTCTAATAGTGGTCTTAAGGATAATCAACTATATGGGAGGGGGAAAGATTGGAAGAACCTGCATGATGAACCGAAATCCCTTGATCATAATCACTTGTAATCACATCAAAGGGCTTCATGTTCTTTCAAGGAGGCAGTCGGGGCTACAACATTGCTTCAGTATATTCAATCCTCTTGAGCTCCTTCTCCCTTCGGTGCTTTTTTAAGGGTTGTTTGGTTGCCTGAAAAAGAATACAATGTAAAGTAAATACAATGCAAAATAAATGTAATATATTTAAAATACTTTGAAGCTATTTGGTTGTCTGCAAAGTAAATGAAGCAGAACTATTTCTTTTGTTTGATGATGTATATGTATAATAAAATAAAGCAGTGTATTTTGAAAATGTTTCTATAGAATAGAAAAATATATATGAATTTGAAGATATATATATAATCATGTAGAAATAGCTAATCTTGTAGATCATCTAAACTTATAAACCTAAGAGGTTGTTTGGTAGCAGGATTTGAGGCAAATCCAGCCAAATGCGAAAAATGGACATCTTAAATCTCACATTGAATTAAATCCTCTTTTTGTCATAAATTCCCTATAGTTCAACGGATTTATGGGATTTGGCTAAAGAAGCTTGTTAAGGGGGAAGAAGGATGGTTACCTTCGATCCAGCACGAACAAGAATAATGATGCGAACCGTCGTGACTTCCGATCCGACAGGGAGGAAACGTCGTCGACGAAGGCGAAGAAGCTTTTTAGCGACTCATTCAGCTTGGAGTAGCTCCAATGGAAGATAAGATTAGAGGGAGTCGTCTTAGATGGTTTGGTCACATAAAATGGTGGCCTTTTTGATTACCTGGTTAGGAAATTAGAAGTATTAGATTTAACTTTTGTTAAAAAAAGTAGAGGTATACCTAAAAAGACTTGGTTAAAAAATGTTAGAAATGACTTTTGTTTATCAGATTTAAATGAGAATTTAACTCAAGGTTCTGAAAACCGGTTTAACTCAAGGTTCTGAAAACTAAACCGGAGAACGAACCGGAAGAAAGAGAGTTTCACGGTTCGACCAGTCGAACCGGATGACGTAATAAATAATATTATTATTATAAAAATTTAATAAAATTAACAAAATAAAGAAAGACAATAACCATATAATTTAATATAAATTATTGCTAATTTATACTATATATTTAAATTTAATTTATAAATATAAATTATTTAAAACTCACAAATATAAAATTATAAATATAATATAATTAAATATTTTAATAAAAATTATTTCATTTAGTAACATAAAAAACTTTTGGAGGTGAAAAACAAATAAATTTTTAGAGCTATTAATAAAGAATCCTAATAAAAATATAAAAAATAAATAGATAAAAATAATAAAAAATAGAGATTATCAATTAAAAAAAATAAATATTATCATCTTAAAAAATAAAAATTATTCATATTATTAAAATTTAATTTCAAATCATTAAAAAAAATAAGTTGTATAGCGTGAATATGGAACTAAAGGAGATTCTTTGATTTGTATGTTTAGTCCCACATCACTTAGAAGTTTTGCTTTGTATTGCTTATATAGCTTCTTGCTTTCACTCATGATAAGAGTTCTTAAGGAATAAAGAAGACATGAGACTAATGAAATTATAATAATATTGTGTTTAAGTTAATTTAAGAGTTTTATATTAATATTTATTTTAATTGTGATTAAGTTTAATATTTATTTAATACCAAATAATTTATTAATTAATTTATATTTCTCATGAGCATGTTTAAAACATGTATTATATGGTAAATATGATAATTGTGCATTCTACATCAATATGATTTACATGGAATGTCATTTATTACAATTAAAAAAATAATGTAAATGAAATAAATTCTTTACAACATAAATCACACTTCAATGTTTAATAGTTTGGGCAATAATAAATTATGACAAATTTGGCTCTATAATATGATAAATTTATTATTAATAACAAATATAATATAATATAATATCAAAATTAAACAATTAATCTATCTTATCTAAGAATTTAATATAAGTAGCAAGCAAAAAAAAAAAAAAAAATCTGAAAACTATAAATTTAACTGCATTATTTTTTTTTTGGAAAAAAATAATTTCATTTTAAAATAAACTAAAATAAAAGTTATAAATATAACTACATTAGTTTCTATAAATAAAATAACTGAATATTTAGGTATAATACTAAACCCTAAACACGATGGTGGAGAATCTCTTCGTCACGGAGCATGGGCGTCCGAAGGAAGGAGAGGGAAAGCTCGAGGGGATGGTTTAGTCAAGAAAAAGCGCATATGGCTGCGATTTGGGTGAAACGGCCTGGAGCCAGAATGACGAGAGAGGAGAGATGCGGTTGTTGCGAGAGGGAGAAGAGAATAAGATCGTTGCGATGCCCTAGGTTTCTTTTTTATAAACCGCAGGCACGGTGGCAAATAGTGGAAGTTTTCGAGTATTCATATGGATGAATCTTGTTTTGGTGAAGACCACTTTAGTGGACTCATCTGGTAGGCCAACTCTCTTTTTCCTACTGCCATTGTCTTTCACTAGCAAGCAGCCAGCTTCCTCTGCAATCACCGTAACAATTCGATTTACCAACAAGAATTGGACCGATCATCATGACGTCCACTCAGGCCCTTTTGGAAAAAAGTTTATTCCTCCTGGGCTAATCTACTCGGTTTATTGCAGCTGTCAATAACAGGTTTTCGAGACATCAGCGCCTGATTAAGGGGTTGTTGTTTGGAGATTATTATTTTTATTTGGTTTGAAGTAAAATGAGTATAATGCGAAGTTCAGAGATGGTGGTGGTCTAGAACGATGGTGGTGCTCAATACTAGTGGGCGGTGGTCTGCGATGATGGTTAGTGGTTTGCGGTGGTGGCAATGGTTGGTATTCAACAACGACTGTGGTTAGGGTTGTAACCGATCTGAAAAATTCGGGTTCAGGTTGATCCATTTAGTAAACGAGTCGAATTCATGTTGACCAACCAATCTGATTTTGGTTTGAAGTGAACCGTTTATTTTTTTTTTTTAATTTTTTTATTTGAAACATGTTATCGGCTTGGGTTCGAGCCATTTCAGGTTGCTAGTGGGTCGGGCTCGTGTCTACATTTTTGACCTGTTTAATAAAATGGTCGGGTTCAAGTTGATTGCATTTTGGTCAGGTCAATTTTAGGTTGGATCCGAACTCGACCTATGGATTTGTTTTGATGCCCCTAGATGTGGTGGTGGTCGGCAGTCGGTGGTGGCCAATGATGATGGTATGTAACACCCCAAGATTTAAAGTGGAAGAAATTTTTTTCTTTTCTCTTTATTGTCTTTTCAACATACTCTATTTATTTTTCTTTCAGGTAACAATTAATAATCATTCATTTACATCAAGATCAATTTGACATCAAGAACTGATTAATTGCATTAAAAATATAATTATATTGTTAATGTTAGTATTTATATTTTGCTTAAAAAACATATAATAATCATTATTGGCTACCAAAGTATACATTTTAACAAAAAAATTAAAATAAAATGAAAACATCATTATATTAAGTCTCAGTTCGCAATCCCTTTAACTCTACATAAAATCATGTAAAAATTATATGATGAGCTTACACAACCCAACAAATAATCAAAACTCATTATATGCCTTAAATGCAAGATGAAAGATTGAGTATGTAGTTCAAATTCTAGTCAATATTAATATATAGTAAAATTAATATGATAAGTAGAATGAGAGTATCTCATTAAGAAAATGAGCGTTTATCAAGATATAAGAAATCAGGGAAAAATCTATAAATCTATAAAAGGTGTTATAGTAAAACAAATTTAAATTATCTATCAGTCATATTCATGTTGATTAATCTATTATATGCCTCTATCAATTATCATGTCATATATAATTGTCTATTAGTATGCTATGAAAATCCATATATGAGTAAGTTTAATACACTATCATATAAATATAATCATAAATATCAAAAAGTGCAGGGCGCAAAATATTTAGCTTTAATATGGTGTTTTTATCCTTCCACTCTAATTGTCGCCCAATTGAATATCAGTAATTAGTTTAACCACATTTGTCAATCAATTGGTCATCAATATTTATCTTATCATAATTATTCATTATTTTAAGTTAATTCACATTTGGCTTTTAATAATCGTGTAAGAGTCGCCGCCTTCTACGCGTAGGTGTAATTGGGTCAATCAGTTACATATTACAACAATGATTACACTAACAACCTTTTATTTAAATGAAAGTCTGTCAGCTCACCCTCCTATGTAGGGTATTCTTTTTTAATTGCCAGTCCGCATCAATTACAGACTTAATAGCCATCCTTCCTTGCTTGCATGTAATTGTCATATTTATTTCATAACAGTTATATCAATCTCACTTTCATGCATGAAATGCAACAAGAAATGCTTAAAACCAAATAAATACAAGAAATATATATATTAATCTATAGTTTCAAAAAATCATAACATACTTATTACATGGTAAAATTCAATAATCTTATAGTCAAAATGTTCATAAAATTCATATCTATTGTATGCTAAAAGTTACATGATAAATCAAGAAAGAATATATATTTTTAAATTAATTTGAAAGAGATTTAATTCGTCGATTTCAAAATTTTGTTATTTACAATGATCGAAAGACTTTTTCTAATTGAAGCAACGGATGAAAATGAACAAACCGGCCTCCTCTCCTCTCTCTGCTCTTCCTTTCCCTTTCCCTCTTTTCTTCCATGGCAATCCACATGAGAATGGGGAGGCGGCGGCATTGAGGGGCTTTAGTGACCTAACGCTATATCGCTCTGACCCAATGTCATATGTTGAATTAAGAATTATTGTAGAATTGAGAATCTAATACCTTGGCGGCGATTTCTGGCACTGTTGTGCTCTCAAGCCTAACGTCATAGCGCTACCAAGCATAACATCAAAGTGTTCTAATTGAAACAAAAATTTAAATTTTCATTTTAAAATACTTTTTCATGTTTCGGGTTGTTATATCGGGTGGCAGATGGTAGTAGTCGTGGTTGATGGCCGATGATGGTAGTGTTGGTCGGCGGCGGTGGTGGTCGTGGTTAGCGGCAGAGATGGTGGTGACTGGCAGCGGGTGATGGCGGTTGGCGATGGCTGGTGGTGGGCTGATGATCATTGTGTGTGGTTGTGCCGGCAATGATCGACCGATAGTGGCCAGCCTGCGGTTGTTGTCGGTGGCGACAATATAGGAAAGATGATGAATTTATGATGCATTTGGAACTCGCCCAAATCTTAGGAATTCCAAATACATAAAATATGAATTAGAGACTGAATTTCAAATGCATCAAAATTTTACATTATATTTGTTTTACTTCAAATCAAATACCAATATTCTTAAAACCCTTATATTTGGAATACTTTACATCTCTTTTACTTCAAACCAAACAACCTCTAAAATTTATGCTTCTAATTTTTTTTAAGGTTTTATTTGGACAAATTTCTTACTAGTTTGCTTTGCAGATCAGATTTATAATTTTTGTTTGATCAAGGAAATTTCTGCTTTCTATTAGGAAGCTTTTTTCTACAACTTTAAAATGTTATTTCTCCGCAACAATTTTATAAAATAGTAACAAAATTATCCCAAACTAAACCTTAAATCACAATTTTAAATATATTTTTTGAAGAACACTTAAAAAAATTATGCAAATACTGTAGTCTAAATATATATTATTATTTATTTATTTTTTTTTTTACTTTTTTTTTTAAACAAAAAGAGTCAAAAAGCTCCCCAACCTCCCCAACCTCTAAGACTGTTCGATCAAATCCTTTCTATTTTCAATTATATACTGGTGTCCCTCCTACAACTTGGGGTGCCTTGTATTTTTTTCCTTATGAAATTTCCGTATAAACGGTCTCTCACTTTCATCTACTTGTGTGTATGACAGTTCACGAGCTCAGATGACTTTTTTTTGTTTCAAACTAATGGTATAGATGTGATTATAGATAGCATTTTGAAGGGTAATGTCATATAAATTAATAGGATTAGAGATAAAATTATAGATTTAAAGATTATTATTGATAATAAGATTATTTTCATTTTAAGTGTGTATGCTCCTCTAGTAGATTTTAATATTTGTTCAAATATTAACATTTTGGAATGAAATAAAATAATTAATACACAAAATATATCTTGAAGATGGTTTTTAGAGGAGATTTAAATGGACATGTTTATAAGAGGTATATGATTTTAAAAGCATTTATGGTGGCTATGAGTTTGAAGTGACTATGAAGCCATGAAGGTAATACAACTAGTCTAGGTGGTAAGAGTTTTTGTTTTATAATTGTGGATGACTACTCTAGATTTTTATGGGTTAGATTTTTTAGCACATAAGAGTGAGTCTTTTGATGAATTTAAGATATTTTTTACTTGATTCAAAGAAATTTAGGATATTTAATTTCTATAATTCATAGTGATCATGGTTGAAAATTTTAAAATGAGAAATTTAAATGAAAAAATTTCGTTTGTCTTTGTATATTTGATCAAGAGTAAGATTGTATAAAGGCATTTTGAAAATGGCAGAATAATGTATCTGTTGTTCTCTGTTTATCTTTTTAACTTCTTTGAATTTGTTTATTCAAATCTTTCTATAGTTTATGCGTTAGTTTAAAATATATTATTCTAAAGTATTTCCTTATCATTCAACCCCCAAGCTTATGTTTGCTTCTTATCCAGATTACAGCTAAGCCAGCAAGTGAGATTGATTTGAAGTCTCTTGTGCAAGACAAGGCAAGCAATCTCTGTTTCTTTTGATTTTATTTCACCAGTTTTTTAAATATTATTGTACTCAAAATTATTCCAGCATTTACATCTGCTATAACGTAGCTAAATTTCCTTAAGGAAAAAGAAAGAAAAGACACACTGCTTCTATAACACTTTTTAATTTTCAATAATATGCATTGCTTTTCATAGATTGGGGCATTATAAAAAGTCATGTCTGCTTCAATATTATTATCATTTTCATGTTGGTTTATTTCAATAACTCTTCTTTTTTATTTTCTTCTTTATTGAGACTGAAAATCATACCTTATCCAATTATGATCATTTACACTTTAATGAAAAATACTGTGTCTGAATAATGAATTGTGAACTCGATTTACTTAATTGCATCTGATGGGTTGAGAATTTGCGTCTTTTTTTCTTCTAAACAGTGATTGAGTTAAATTAATACACGAAATGACCACAATCATCTGGCATAAGAGACACTTTTAAAAGGCCACTTAACGTAGAATTGGATATTACCCAGTTTATTCTATGTTTATACTAAATTTACTTAGACATAAGGGGCTGCAAAATGGTATTATGATGCTAAAGATTTCGAAGGTTGGAGATATAATTGCCAAAGGGCACACTGTGGTTGTCTTATGAACTCTGTATAGTTCGTTTATTATCTTAAAAAGCACCAATAAATTCTAGATAAGGTTCAAAATGAAACATGATTTACGTGAATTAAATTTATTGTATTCTATTGAGACTATGCATAAAAAATAAATCTTACTATTATAGGGTTCATTTAAATATTTTAACTCAAGGAAAAACCATCCATAACTATTATGTGAATATTAGTAGATATTTCATTTTATTTTTTTTGTAGATATTTCATTATGAATATTAAGTGAAATCTATGAAAGTATGTACAAAAATTATTGAATGTGGAATGCAGGTCTTACATTCTCCAAGATATCTAAGAAATTATTATAAACATAAAAAATAATGCCCGTGAGAAAGAGGATACGTTTATTTTTCAATCAATGAAAGTTGTTTACCTAGAAGCTAGCAGGGTGGAACTCCAAACTTAATTGAGATCTAACCAATCACATCAAATGAAATTAATTCAAAGGTCCTATATAACATGAACTTTCAATTAGTTGCACACACAAAATATGCATTTAAAATTAATATCTAGCTTATGTAAAAACATCCTATTCAACCTATGTGACCTCTAAATCAACTAGAATAAATAACTACTATGATAAAATAGATCTCTAAAATCTTTGGACTTGACCATATAACTTAAAATAATACTATATAAAACCTAAATCTATGTTTAAAGAGTTAAAAACATAAAATACTGATACTTATCTAAACAATAGATAATAATAGAATAATTATTCTAATATAAATTTTATATGAAAGTAAATTCATCTTACCCATTCGAGCATAGATGTCGAGCAATGAAGTCCCCATGATGATTAAGAGAGAGGGGAAGAAAAGTGAAAAGAGGCTTATGGACGTTGACTCTTAGTTGAAGGAAGAAAGCGAGGAGCAAAACTTACATCACTTATAGTTGCGGCTTAAGAAAAGTTGTTGAAGACGATGAGAGGGAGATAGGGTCCTTGATGGCTAAGAGGGAGGGAGCTGAAATTTTGCATTTGCATTCATCAAAAAGCTATTACAAACAAGTAAGTAAGAAGAGGGGCAAACATGCCCTTAAGTAACACCAAAAAAGGGCCTCCTATCCTCCTCAAGAACATCAAAAAAGGCTTGAGGACTTTCCCCGCAGTTCTATCTCCTATATCCCAAACAAATGTTTTGTGAACTGCCCTTTGGGCACAAAAATGGGTGGCTTTGTTAAACCGGTGGTGAGTGTGGACAAAAAGGATTTGTTGGAAGCTTTTCATCCGGTTGCAGGTTTCCCAATCGGTATATTGTTGCCTCCACAAATTTTTGAACTTGAAATTTTGCAAAAACTCCAAAACCGAAGCATTGTCCCCCTCTACAATCATGCCCTTGGTATCGAACATCCATTCCATAACAAGCTTCCCAATATACTGGACAGCCAACATTTCCACCTGAGTACTGTCCCAGTGATTTAAGCTCCACTCGGCCGCGATAACTAACTTCCCAAGGCTATCTCTAATGACAATCCCAACTCCACCCGCATTGGATCGCAGAAGTGCTTCATCAACATTAACTTTTAACCAACCCGTAGGGGGGGACACCAAGAAAGAGGAGAAGACAATCCATAGGATTGAGAGGTGTCTCGTTTTGACAATGAAATGCCTACCTAATAAGCAGGGCCGCCACTTTTGGATGGCTAATACAATGGCCATCAACTCTTACTCATAAACTGATTTCAGCCTGGCTTTAGCTGTCAACGCTTAGCTGAAATAGGCAATGGGTCAATGATTTTGCATGAGTACTGTCACCAATCCATATCATGAAGCATCTGTCTCTACTGTGAAGTCTGGTAATGCTAAGGCTGATATAATAGTCATAGCATTCTTCAAGCTCTCAAAGGCTGTTGTGGCTGCCTCTCCCTATAAAAAAACCATCATTCTTCAATTGCTCTGTTAGTGACCATGTTATGGTGTTGTACCTTTTTATGAACCTCCTGCAATGTCATGTCAGTCTTAGGAATACTTGCCGCTCCATCAGATTCTTAAGCACTGGCCATTCAACATAGCTTCAATTTTTTATTTGTTCTGCCACCGCCTCTCTAGACACAATATGACTCAAATACTCAACACTGGCCTAAAAACAACATTTCTTCAGGTTAGCCTTTAGCTGGTGCTCCTGCAAGGTTGCAATACTTCTAACACCCTTCTCAAGTGCTCCCAATGCTCCTCCTTTGTCATGCTGTAAACTATGATATCATCAAAGAACACCAAGAGAAATCGCCTTAGATATGATCTGAAGACCTTATTAATGAGTGACTGAAACGTAGCTGGAGCGTTAGTGAGGCCATAAGGCATCACTAAGAACTCATAATTCCCCTCATGCGTTCTGAAAACAGTTTTGGATACATTTTCCTTTTTCATTCTGATATGATGATATCCGGACTTCCGATCTATTTTTGTGAAGATCATCGCCCCACTCAACTCATCCAATAACTCATCTATCACTGGTATACGAAACTTGTTTGGCACAGTCTCCTTATTTATTATCCTGTATTCCACACAAAACCTCCAGCTGCCATCTTTTTTTTTTAACCAGTAATATTGGGCTAGAAAAAGACTACACTTAGCTTGATAATTCCTTCCTCCAGCATTTCTCTAATCGACTTCTCAATTTTATCCTTCTGAAATTGAGGATAGCGGTAGGGCCTGACGTTGATGGGTTATACACCTTTCCTCAAGATGATAGCGTGCTCTTGCTCCCTTGGTGGTGGCGATCCCTGAGGTGGCTGATAAACCTTATGAAATTGTTGGATCAATGGATGTACTGAGAGGGGTATGTCTCCTCCCTCCAATCTCACTCCCTCCAATATGTGCACCTCCACCAGAAAGCCCTCCCCTACCTCTTGTAACTCCTTACCATGGTTTTGAAAGATACAATGGTTTTGGATAGCCCTGCATCTCCCCTTATGACCACATTTCTCCTATCCACCATCAACCCCATCGTGAGTTCTCTCCAATTGACCTTGGTGTCTCCCAAGGTCTGCAACCACTTCATCCCTAGGATGACATCAGTTCTTCCCAATTGACCTTGGTGTCTCCCAAGGTCTGCAACCACTTCATCCCCAGGATGACATCATTTATTCCCAAATCCAGTGGAAGAAAATTCTCCCTCACCTGAATCCCCTGAATGGCCAACATCACTTCGCTATAGATCCCTTGATTTTTAACCATCTTCCTTGTACCCATCATTACCCCATAATATCCTGTATCCACCAATTTCACTCCCAGTTTGTTGATAACCTAAGTGGAAATGAAATTGTTGGTAGTCCCACTGTCGATCAATACACCACCTCCATGTCCTCTGTCTCCTTCTTCACCTTTATGGTATGATTCATAGTGAATCCTACCACAGAGTTCAAGGAAACCTATGCCAGATCCAATTGCAGCTTCTCCTCCATCTCTCCCTCTACCTCACCCTCACCTCCCACCTCAGTTTCCTCATCATCATAGACGCTGAGAACCTGAATAGTTTGATCCCTACACTTATGCCTTGTCGTATACTTCTCATCACGCCTGAAACATAACCTCTTCGCCCTCTTCTCTTGCATCTCCTTCTCCTTCAACCTCTTGAAATTTCCCCCACTTCCTCCTCCTACTAGCTTTTCCCCTGGTGGTCTCACGAAATCCTCCTGTTGCAGGACCCTTGGGTGCTAAAAGACTGGTCGTCATCCTGTAAGAGCCTCATGAATTGCTGCTCCTGGCTCCCCTCTTTTGATTCATATGATTTTCTACCAGTTGTGCCAACTCCATGCCCTCTCCCAAGTCACGAGGCCTCATGACCTTCACCGCAGCTTTGATATATGATTTGAGCCCCTTCATGAAGTTCCCCTCCAATGTTGTCTCTGAGAATCGCTCAACCCAACTGGCCAGATACTCAAACCTCTCACGGTAGTTTGCAATTGATCCGTCCTGCATCAGCACAAAGAACTGCTCATGGAAGACTCCTCCTTTGTTGGCTTGGAAATGTTATAATAAACAATCCTTGAATTCTCTTCAGATCCGTAGGCGTCTCCTCTGCTCCCTCCACTGCCCACTAGTACAATGACAACATCTTCACCTCCAAACATAAGCCTACTACTATCAACTTTTCCTCCTTCGTCAACCCACTGACGGCAAAGGACCTCTCCACCTTATAGATCCACTAATGTGCGCCCTCCCCTTATAAAATGGGCATTTTCAGCTTCCTGACCTTCTGATCTCACCCGTTCCCCTTATTACTCCATTGTTTCCCCTTGGATATTTTGAAATATTTTTGATATTTTCGGTATTTTGCCCCCCCCCCCAACCAAAAAAAAAAAAAAAAAAAACTCCCCATCTTCCCTCCTATGTTTATACACAAGCAACTCTTCGCTTCCCCCCTCTTTTCTTCAAAATCAGCACCCCTTCTCTTGTATTCCCCTTCTTTTCTCTCCCAACCATAACACCTTGATTCACGCCCCCCATAACCATTCCTCCCTCCATATCTTTCACCTCTTTCCTCCATCATTTCCATCTCTTCGTCCCTCCTACGAAACTCAGAATTTGTCGTTTTCCCCACCGGTACTTTTGCCTCCGATGTCGTCGTTTGAATTTGATTTTCCAATAGCTTCTTCAGCATCACATAAAGATTGGAAACTTTGTCTTCCACGGATGAAACCTTGCCTTCTACAGATGAGATTCAATATTTCATTGTTGCTGTTATTTGGCTCATCCCGCCTTTAAGGCGTTCCTTCAACGCATCTACCTTCTTGGTTGCTATTAAATTTTTTTTTTTGAACTTTTATCCAAAAATCAGCAAGAAACCCTTCCTCCGGAAAAAAATCACCCCTGAAATTTCAGGAAAAACAGCCCACAATGGTCCTAAAATTTGCTTTAATACCAATTTGTTAGAAAATACTTGATTATTTCAAGTAAAACTCTGACAAGAGGTATGAAAAACAACAAACGATTCACAAAATCTGATGGGAAAACACACCAAAATAGTAGTATTTATTGTAGGAATCAAATCAACAGAAGAATTAGAGCAAGATACAATTTATTCTCAATTCGAGAGGAGGATTATTCTCTCTCAATCCCTAGATGAATTTAGGGCCCAAGACACTAGCATAAGAACTTCTAATAGTACTGTAAAGTATCATTTGCATAAACATACAATTTCCCATCTTTAAACATTTACATACATTTTATTTACTATATATAAAAAAAAATCTAAGAACAGATCATTCACTTGAATCCAAAATTAAAACTCACTGAACTGTCAACATAGCTCAGATGTAGACCTATACACAGATTTAAAAATTAGCATACAAATCAAAATATTTGCAACTTAGTATTCTTCAACTTTTTTCCTTTCCCTTTCCTCAGTAATAATACCTAGTAAGAAAGATACTGGTGAGCTATGAGGCTCAATAAGATATGTATATTTAAATAACAATTAAAGTTGAAGAATACTAAGAAGTCATCATTTACTGAATACACGGAAACATCTAAACTCCAAGTTACTTCAAACATAAACTTACAGATCCACTAATGAATCCAAAATTAAAACTCATTGAACTGTCAACATAGCTTAGATGTAGACTTATACACAGATTTAAAAACTAGCATACAAATCAAAATACTTGCAACTTGGTATTCTTCAACTTTTTCCTTTCCATTTCCTCTGTAACAACAGCCAACAAGAAAAATACTGGTGAGCTATGAGGCTCAATAAGATATGCACATTTAAATAATAATTAAATTGCATTATAAAATTATAACATTTAAATCATCAGTTAAATTATAACAATAAAATCTCATACAATCCAATGTGACATTAATCTTCTTCTTCCAGTGTAGATTATACTGAATATCAAATTTAGACTTTTAAAAGATTGTTTTACTTTTATAAATATATTGAATGGATCCCAGGTAAACCTGACATTATCTCCATTGAATTACATTGATGTACATTTTGCCTCTTTAGGGGTACCTTTTGCCCTTCCTATAATGCATGTTTCATAGTTGGGTCCCTTTTGCCCACCTAATATTATATAAATCATATCATAAACCAGGCAATTTTTATTAATTTAATATTCAGCATAATTCAAATATGATTTTGCTAAATATAGATGCATCTATCTGTTGCATGAAAGAGTTTATATGCATTATATAAAGAATTTGTGTAAGCATATGTTAAACATAATACTTCATTCCAAGATATTTCCAACTAGAGAAATCTTTCAGTACTCATTGTACATTTTATTCTTAATCTCATTCATTCAAATTTGCATGTGACTGCTCATACATGAATACTTGATTATTAACATGCATAATGTAAAATCATCTACTTTAATCATTGTCTTTTTAAATTGTCATAAAAATCGATGTACATGTTAACGAAGATACCATATATTCTTTTATTTAAACCTTTACATTTATTTAACTCCCTGAAGATTTGTCTCTTCAATTCCTCTACCACACACTCTTCTTCTATTGTAAGTAACCTACACAAATTATTTCCAATTCTCTCTAGTTTCCAGAATTTATTATTCAAATACTTTGTATAAAATTCATTTATACTAACATTACAACTTTACCTTGTAACCTCCCCTTTGCATAGATCCAAAGAATCCTCCTTTAAATTTTCTCTCTTAATCCTCCTTCAATGTTTCTACAATTAATTTGCACACTTACATCAAATTATAATTCATCCCATAATTCTATATTAATTACATTCAAATTTTGATAACAGTTTCCAATACTTTCTATTAAAACCTACTGTTAATACCTGTTAATTTCTGCACTGTTGAATTCCTACTGCACTGTGCTGAACTTCCCAGTTGCTGTGCCAAACTTCTTGCTACAGGAATCTGGCCGAAATCCTCCTCTATGTACCGAACTTCTCTACAGGAATATTGTGCCGAATGAACCATCAGAGAATTGCTAATTCCTTCTCCACCACCGCATTTCCCAATTCCTTTATTCACCCGTAAATGTTCTTCTCCACCACAGCATTTCCCAATTCCTTATTCACCCGTAACTGCCTTATCTTATGTCCAATTGCTGTTGTGGAATTCCAAACAGAGGAATTATGTGAAAGAGGGCCCACACACACCCTTACTATCATTCTCATCCAATGGGAATATCCATTTCCAAATCACTTGGCTACCGTGAACTGCTCTCTTATTTAATCTTTTAGAGAAAGCATCTTTTTAGAATTATGACAGAATCATGACTTATCAAAGTAAAATACTTAACAGTACATCATTACTTAAAATTTTACTATTATTAACTTAAATATTTTACTTATATTAATTACTGTTAGTCTTAATTTAACAACTGGTGATTATTAAACTTCAGATTAAATCTTAAAAGTATAATTAAATAAATTTAAAATTTTCATACCTGGATTCGGGATCTTACAAATATCAAGACTAAAAATGTGAGCTGCTATGAGGTTGGATCCCAACGTTCTTGTTTGAGAGCATTGAATGGGATTCTTTATTAAATATACGTCATTAGAGTTGTTACAGAATGGGAATGTGTTCTAGCTTGAGGCACTAATCCTCTAATTGTTGCTCTAATCATAATATTGTGCTACATAACCATCTACATCAGTATGCCTAGCCTATGTAGTGGACTTAAATAATGCTATTTTATTTCTTGATTAATACGCATGACCAACTTAAGATTTGGCAAGTTCCCTCTTTTGATCTACCTTACATACGGCAATGTTTGCATTGGAGAACCTGACAAGACCATAAGAAAGTGTGTTCTTAGGATACAAAAAATCTAATCTTGATGTCGTTAACAAATATGTAAATACACGCTAAAAATAAAAAAAAATAATAATAAAAATAAAAAAATAAAAATGTAAATACACGTTTCTTTGTTGCCAAGTGTGATTCCTTTGACTCAGCTTGAAATTTTGCATGCAAATAAAAAACATGATATGGAGTTGGTTGGCAATAAGATTTAATAGAAATGCTATCATCTCTTTGTAGACCTTTGAGTCTTGAGATCTCCCTTCTCGTCTTTATCCAATTTAGTTGAGTGGCTCATGGGCTACTTATAAATTTGAATCTCTTCATGTCAAAACTTCTATAAAGATCGTTCATGTACTTGGCTTGAGAAATGAAGATTTCATCTTCTTTTTGCTTCACTTAAATGCCAATGATGGTGTTGGCTTCATCTATTATATTAATCTAGAAATCTTTGCTGTTTAACTCATGGCATAATGATTCATTAGTATGTCCAAATAAATGTCATAAATATAAATTTGAAGTAATAAGCATGTCTTAATCAATCTTCTTATGTTTGTGCTACTCTCATACAAGACCTTAGGTGCTTTTTCAATTCATATAAAACTTTTTTCAACCTATAAGCATACTCAAGATTATCTTGACTTTCTTAAAAAACAATAGAAGTAAATAAAAATAGCAAATAATCAATCAAGGTGCTTGATCATCATTATCAATCATCTTTACAGTGGGTGACATTGAAAGGTATTAAAATGAAACTAATAAGTATGCTTTTACAAGACTAAAATAGATCAAGATTCTTTTAAAACTGAATGATATCATAGGAGAGTAAAGAAATTATTATAAAATCTTTTTAAAAAAAAAAAAAAAAAAACTAAGAGAACTTCACTTTTCAAAGAATTCCTATTGTCTGAATTGAAGTCCTGCATAAGAATTGGATGGAAGGTTCATCTAATCTTGTTTGCAAGCAGTTGGGATTATTGGATATCTCCAACCTACTGTCGTGTTAATGTCAATCCCGAACTGCACCCCAAAGGAGCTCAATGGAGTTCTTCTTCCACTAGATGTCATACCCAGGGTCTGGAATGTACCTCAGCAACATGGAATATGATGAAGGGATATAAAACCCATTTTATACTTGCAAAAAGAAAGTTTATGTTCAAGTGATATAAATATATATATATATATATATATATATAAGTAAGCTATGAAAAGCAAATTAAGATTTCATTTTATTAACATACATCCTAATAAGAGTACATCAATGAATTAGGAGCAACAACAGATAAAAAAGAAACTTAAATCAACGACTACAAAAGTAAAAACTATATGAATATTATAGGTAATTCACCCGGATGCAAATATTCATATGTCATCCATAATGTATGCTCCAATACATCCTTGGACGACTCAACAATTATTTATTTCTTCCAAATGTAGTCTGGCACTGTTTCAAGAAAATATCCCTATGCAGTTCTCAGAGATTGGCTTCAACAACTACCCCTGCATAAAAAAAGAAAAAAAAGGTAGGTAGATTTCCGATACACCATAATTAGAGGGGAAGATAGAACGAAAATATGCAGAGAACTTCTTGATCCCAAACGTCTCTTTGTTAGCCTTCCTTTAGAGTCATGGATTCTTGATCATTTGGATTGATAAATTATCCTTCGATAGATCTTCTTAACTCCCCTAACTTCAGGTATAGAAGCTTGCACCCATTTGGGATGGCTTATTGAGATTTTCCAATGTCTTTGGATGCTCTAAGTTCGGTCCAGCATCCCTTAAACATAGATACAACCCTTCTTGGATGCTACCCATTCCTAGGGCTTGTTGAAGCTCAACCGTCCACCATGGCAGCCCTACTTGTGCTGTCCAGCGTTTGGAGTCACCAAATAGGGTTGTAAAAGCATGGTATTGATTGCAGCTGAGTTTGGACCTACTACGAACACTTCCACCTCTTCTCTACCTCCAAGAGTTGGCAAATTCTTCCCAAAAATCATGATAACCTGAGACATTTTTTTTTTAAAATTGGTTCACCTCATTAAAAATCATAAAACCCTTATTTTGATATCTACTACAAGTAAAATGAAAAGAAAAATAGTTCCTAATAAAGAAAGTGAATTATAAAAAGAAACCCCACCCCTAATGACTATGTTAGTGGATTTAATTGCCTTTTTATATCGTTATCAATATGCAGTAACCCATCCTTCCATGGCCTCCATCCAAATTATCAATCAAATCTTTCAAATCTCAATCAAAACTATCACTTACTGACAATTCTCCTTCAAACTTTGAATTGAGTTCTGTGAAGAACGAAGCTTATTTCCTGGAACCTGTATCTTCTCTAGCAAAGATATTTTAGGTAATGAATGATGTTTTCCACTGCAAAGACTTCATTTATAAGTTGAACATCTTTCCTAGGTTGAGACGGGGAAGGGTGTTTCCTAGTGGGTTGTTAGGTGGTGGGATGTTTGTGTAGTACTTCATAAAGTTTCATGTGATATACACTATAGTAGTGATTATACCATGACCATTATCAACGGTCATTTTGGTTGATGTATTTTCTTGCGCCATTTATGTTGTTTTGCAGGAACCTCTCCTTAACTTAGAGCAAGATGTGACATCTCATCGTGTACTAAAGAAGATAAAGGTTTACTCTAAACAAACATTTTATTCATAACTTTAGTAATTTAAACATTGATTTCCTGCTCATATTTAATTTTGCTTTCTCAAATATATTATTAAACTTGTAGGAACTTCATGAAAAGTATGCTTCCTTCAGACGTGTACGGGGAGATGGAAATTGTTTCTTTCGAGCCTTTAAATTTGCATACCTTGTAATATATGACCTAGTCTTTTTGGCTTTATGGTGTTTTTTCTTACGAGGTGTTTGTATTTTCATCTAAATTTTTTGTGAGATGTGGCATAGGAGCACATTTTGTTAATGAATGACACGGGGGAGGCCAATCGTATTTTAACAAAGGTTGAAGAATTTAAGTACAGGATTCTTCTAGACCATATGGCATCTTCGGAGACACTTATAAGTGATTATGAAGTAAGTTTATTAGCTTGGTCATTATCAGCAAGTTTTTTTTAGTTTTTTGCTTAGCCCGGGACTATTTATCCTTGGAAATTACCGGCCCTCCAAGTTATTTAAAATGGACATTTACTTCTCATTGTACAAATATAATATTAAAAAATTAAAGTTCGAAACGTTCCTGATGATCACGGAACTAATACTATTGTATATTCTCATTTTTCATGGTTTTAAAATATATGTAATTTGTTTGAGTTGATAATTATGACAATTATTATGTACCTATATTCCTATCTGCTAAAGTTTGCATATTTTTCATTATCTGTTTCAGGCCTTCCGAAACATAGTGACATTAGTTTCATCCAGTTCAGAAAACCGCATAAGGTATTTTGCTATTTTGTATATTTTTGCAATTTATGTATCAATCACGCAATGAAAATTATTTTGTCAATGCTAAACCTTCCATTTTGTTGAACTCAGTCATGCAGTTCTTCTGCAATGGAGTAAGGATGAGGATGGCTACTCTGATCCTGGTTGTTATTATTCTGTACAGAGCTAGAAAAACCATAGTATTACAAGTTGATTATCCTCATATACTTATGTTGTTTAATAGTTTTTGTTGGCCAGCTATTAGGTTTTTGAGAATGGTTACATCTAACGAGATCTGCAAGCGACAAAATCATTTCGAGCAAAGCATTCAGGGTCTCTCGTGCGATAATGCTATGACAGTACAAAAGTTTTGTGAGATTGAAGTGGAACCAATGGACAAGGATGTCGACAATGTGCAAATCATTGCTCTTGTAGATGCACTTGGTGTGCCAATTCGGATAGAGTATCTCCAGGACAGCGAGCATAAACTTAACCATTATGACTTTGGAATTGAAGCTTCACCACTAGAAGAACCCTACATAACCTTACTATATAGGCCCGGTCACTATGACATTCTTTACACAAAGGAGTACCATGTGGTAGTACCTGAGGCAAGGGTTTCTAGGAAGTACACCAATTTTTTTATATCATGTGATGTCAGTTGTGTTCTAATTTTTTGGACTTCAGCTTGAGATAATTCTTTTTAAAACAGCTAGTAGAGGTTGTCTTAAAGGATTCAGAGATTCCAAAGAAGGAACCAAGGACAATAGCAAAGGTTCCCTTGACATCAGAGATGGATCCATCAGAAAAGGAGGAGGATATACACATGGCCATCCACACCTTTATTAGGAGGAAAGGAAAGGGTACGAAGTCCATCATAGCATCTAATTTTATATATTTTTTGCTGTCTTTCAAGATTCTTGTGGCATATAAAGTTTAAGTTGTTTTGTTTAGCTCGAGCTAGCTAGTGCCATCTTATTTATCTTTCTTTGTGAGTTAAAAAATGAGTTTTGAAAGCTACAATTGAGGGAAATTGTTAATTATAGTCTTTTGCGTTTTGAGAATCAATTTTGTAGATGTTTAGATAATATTATGCTAAATAATTTCTTATAAAACATTATTTTCAGTTTGCCTAGTTAGTTAAAAGCTGTAGTTGCAACTTGCTAAATGATAAGAATTAAATATTGTAAAACAAAGTGAAAAAGAAAAAAGAATCGTCTGTAGCTTTTATCTTACCAAGCCGTTTAAACATCTCTCAGCATTTACTCAATCATTAAAAATAACTAGCATGGGAGGCATCCCATTTGTGGTAAATAAATTACTAGAGATGCCCTGGGGATCAAGTGGTTCCGTTGACAATTGAGACTCTAACATAATGAATCTCCTTTCAAGAATTCGTAGAGCAGGCCATACTCTCTTGAGCATTTTGGGCATCTATCCTTATGATTATATGCCACAATAATTGGATCCAAGGGCTTGATTGATTTATACCAAAATTTGTTTGAGGCATGATTCATATGGTTGATTGCATTTAGAGTTTTTTTTTTGCACGAAGGCATTGCCATAGTATATTCAATTGTCCAATATTGAGACCAGGCTCACTCGAGGGGAATGCACTTCAAGGAAGAAAAGATATGAGTTGTGCTGCGGAGAATCTTTGTCATGAGCCTTCGACCTCAAGTTTCCATTCCTTGCTAGGAAGGTTATCATCCGAATGGTAAAAGGCTGACTGCCATACACATGGGTTGCCTTGAGTGACGAGCTATGGGTTATTCTGAGCTGGCTTACTTCAAAAACGTTGCATTACGCATAGGGCAAATGGTGCTTGGTTTGGTGTGCATAGGGTTCATCTTGGTATTGTCACGACCCAACCCGACCGGGACGGACCCCGCTCGCATCGGGCCACGACGGAACTTAAACTTGAAATCCAGGATCTAGTTTTGAAATTTGCTTCAGAACTTTCTTCCAAATATTAAATAGGCAGAAAAACACAGAGCTACTATAAACATCTAAATACAGAACAGTTCATTTATCTTTTCTTTCATCAAAATAATCATATACAATACAGTACATGGCTACAGACAGAAAGAACAGAACAGAAAAGCCATGACTGTACAAAAATCAAAAGTATAAAATACCTAATCACTGATCAGACTCTGAACTGCTAATCCAAAACTTCATTCCTTTTCCCAGAACCTGAAAACCACACAGAAAACAAGGATGAGCTAACAGCTCAGCAATACATCACTCACCAATCAAAATCATCAGAAATCCCCGTACGAAAATCACAGGACATATACTTGATCAACAGGAATCAAACAACTGATACAGAAAACTGAAGTAATTTCAAATCAGAGTTCAGAACAGATATCATAAAGCTTTCAAGTCATATAGCAGACAGAATCGCACGGAATAACCAGAATCGTACAGAAATCAGATAAATCAAATTCATATCAGATTCCCTGACCCTGATAGAATCTCAGCGGATTCTGGCCCCTTATGCCTCCCTTCCCTGACACAAACAGAATCTCGACGGATTCTAGCCCCTTATGTCTCCCGTTGTGCTTATAGCACCAGAACAGAACAGATATTCAGAATTTTCGGAACATAACTTATTTTCAGATTCAGAGCTCATTTCAGCTTTCCCTGACACAGACAGAATCTCAAAGAATCATGGCCCCTTATAACTTCCTTCTGATAGCATACAAACACTTCAATTCATTCAATGTATCAATTCAGAAAAATCAGAATTCGTACGAAAAATCAGCGATATATGGAATTTACACAAAATTTACAGATTCAGAAATTTACCAAATTATCACAGAATATCTACAACAATATTATAAGACTTTCATTGTACTGGAGTAACATTTTTCAACATCATGATAAATTGTTATTCAATTAAAACGCCACAAAATTCAAAATATCCGGTAAAAATCTTCCAGAAAATACTCAAAACGTGCACAATTATCATCTCAGAGACATACCAAAAGTTACGCGGTAAAACCTTTGTCAGAAGAAAATAATACCAGAAATTCGCTAACGGAAACAAAATTCGGAACAGAAAAGTCGTCAAAATCCACATTTCTGAAAATTGAGAAAGGCGGAATGTGCCTTACCTCGAGTCGATCAACTTCTCCAACTACGGCGACGGACGAAAACGGACGAAAGTAGCCCAAAAATTCACTTTTTTTCTTTTTTACTTCGTTTTTCTCTCTCCTGGACTTTCTGTTTCTTCAAAACGACTTAAATAGGATATTTATTAAGCAGGGTCGCCCCGGACGATTTCCCTATCGTCCCAGGACGATCTCCTCTGGACCAGATCGTGGACCAGATCGTCCAGACGAAATTAAATACCAATTTCGTCGTCCCGGGACAAAACTCTCGGGTTCAGTTCGTCCCGACGGTTCGTCCCGACTGTTCCAGGTTCGTACAGACGAAAATGCAGATTTCTTCACAATCTGTATAGATCGTCCCGGGACGATCCACTTCGTCCCGGACGATCTTGAGAGGAAAACATCCTTTACAATCTCCCCAACTTCAGAAAAATGTCGTCCTCGACATTTCCAACCAAACTGAGTCAAAACAGATACGGATATGAGTGCCTCATGTCCGACTCCTCCCAAGTTGCTTCCCGAGCTGTTCCGTGCTTCCACTGTACTTTAACCATCGGAATCTGTTTACTTCTTAACTTACGTACATCATGGGTCAAAATCTTTTCAGGTTCTTCTTTGTACTGCAGATTCTCCTGAATCTCAACCTCATCAAGAGACAACTTTTTGTTAAAGGCTTGATGTTGTTGTTGTTGTTGTTGTTGACTTATGTAATAACCGTTTCGTACCAATATGCATAAGGTTCGTACGGGACGAATAGCGTGTACGAAAATATTTCGTACCAATATGCATAAGGTTCGTTTCTGACCATTTAAGTAAAATCGTCCCGGACGATCCACGATCGCACGGGACGATCCACTGCGTATAGAATTGAAAACTTGCAGTTTTTGGGCGGTTTTTCTTGTCTTTTGTATAAATAGTCCAAATTAGACTGCCACCCAATCTTTTTGCCATTTGATCTTCGTTCCTATTGAGAGAAAATTTAAGGAGAGAGTGTGAGAGAGCATTCAAAGGAGGATTCCTACCACTGGAGTGTGAAGACTTCACTTGGTGTTTAAAGGTAAGAATCTTTACTTGTGAATTGGGATTACTTCACTCTTTTCTTTCTTCCTTCTAGATTTCTTATGAGAAGATCTGTCAAGGAGATCCGGTTCACTGCTGACACTTGGAGAGTGTGAAAGGCCGAAGGGTTCGCTGCCTACACTTGAAGAGTGTGAACAGCCGAAGGGTTCGCTGCCTACACTTGGAGAGTGTGAACAGCCGAAGGGTTCTCTGCCCACACTAGGAGAGTGTGAAAGGACGGACGATTCTCTGCCAACACTGTGGATTGTGTAAAAGGACGACGGTTCTCTGCCGCACGGGAATAAAAAGGACATAAGTGTTAAAAATCGTAGCAAATTAAGATTGCTGTTTGCTGTTTGCTGTTTGTTTCCCTTGGATATCTCATGCGGCTTTTGAGAAGGATCAGTTATTGCATGCAATGGCTGTGATTTTTCCATCAGAAACTTGGGAAAGAATTAGAAATTCATTTACTGACGTGAGCCTCTATATTCCGATTAGTTTTCATGCAAGCCTTCGAACAGATAAGGGTAATAGTGAACAGAAGCAACGGAAGGCTGAAGAAGGGAAATATTCGGGGAAGTGCAGATTATGAGTATTGTTGAAGGAAGCGGCAGTAAATTGCTAGAGAGGATTACGATTTAGTGTTGTGCGGGGAAGAGCAGTTCGGTATAGGAAATTGCTATGAGTGCGGGTGAAGGAAAATCCTTGGGAAACTCTGGCTGATTTGCTGAATTCGGCTTAAGGGGAATTGAGGAAGTGAAGCGGAAATTCAACAGTGTTTTCAAACACTATTGCAAGGGAAAGTTTGAAGAAGTATTCGACACATTCTAGGATGCAAAGGTTGAAGGTAGAAAGATAGAGAATTGAAGGAAAGAAGCAAGGTAAGGATTTCTAGTATATTCTTAGTTATGTTGTAACTTTCTAAAAAGACAATAAAGATCTCTATCAATTACTAACAGTGATAGAAAGGGTTTTATTGGTCTTATGCAAAGAAAAAGTTTCGAGGTGACATACAATCGTAGAAGGGTGCGTAGTAGAGAATTGGAAGAGACGACTGGGCAAAGAAGTAAGTGATGCAAATATTTTTAAGAAATGTATATCTTATCATTTGATATGCACAATGCTTATAATGACACTTTGGAAAGTAGTCATGAAAGTAGATGATTTGATATTATATATGTTTTATCAACCTTTTGTGTAAAGACCTAGAAAAGAATATACTTACAAGTTTTTCAGTATGATTAACCACTTACATAAACTAATTATGTGAGTTTAAAATAAAGTGTATTATAGTCATTTAAATATTTTCTTTATTGATAATATTTTGGAAAGATGTCAATTTCTTTATTTATTATATGCATATTCATGTTATACAATAAAGAAATAAGAAAGCATGCAACAAGTCTAGTATGGATGATGAATATGAAAGGTGTATTGAGTATCAATTTAAAAGTAAAATTTGGCTAAAGATTTATGTATAACTTACCAATACAGGTGGGGCAAAAGGGTCCCCATATATTAAACTGTTTGGTAAGTGGGGCAAAAGGGACCCCAAAGAAATGAAACCTGCAAAGCAGGTGGGGCAAAAGGTACCCCAAAGAGGGAAAAGGGACCTCGATGTAATTCAATGGCGATAATGCCAGGTTTACCTGGGCTCTATTGAATATGTTTATGAATGAGTAGCCAAA